TCTCCTCGACCCTGCGCTGCAGCTCCTGCACCCGCTCGTCCTGGGGGGGCGCCCCCCGGGGCCCCGCTTTCTTCTCCTCCCACCTGGCGGGCGACAGGGCGCGCTCAGGAGGGGCCTGGGTGCCTGCGGGGGGCGGGGCCCTCCGAGGACGGCGCCCACACAGAACACGCTAAACGCGTCCCACGTGTACTAACCACGTGTGTCGGGGGAAGGCAGTGAAAGTCCCTTTACCTTCCCCCCTCTTGCCTAGAAGGAGCCCCCCACTGCCGAGCTCTCCGCAGACCTTTTCTAGGCTATTTTCCTTTCCAAATGAGATGCTTACATAGGCTCCTCGCTGACAGCACAGCCCCAGGGCTTTGCAGGTGCCGCTCCTTCAGCCACTGTGCTGCCTGCTGACTCCGGCCCACTACCCCTCCAGGGCACTTGGCCCTCACTGATCAGATGCCCCCCGGCCCCTGCCGTACATAATAAATTAATGCCATCAGGTCTAGCTTCATGCAGGTGGCTCCAGGAGCTCTGTTAGCAGGTTTGGACCCTTGGAGGCTCCCCAACACCAACTGGGCTGCATTTGGGATCCGTGAGGCAGCTGAGAAATGGTGAGGTCTCCCAGGTGTGTGACACCTTGGGGACCTGCTGAGTGGCCAGCCAGCCCTCCTTGGGCTACCCCAGCCGTTGTTACAGGCCTCCTCTGAATCATAACCAGGGCAGCAGACACTCAGACCCAACAGTGCTGGATTTTGTGGCTGTCCTTCCTTCTGTCCACCCCACCCCAGCTATGCTCAGACACTTTCTCTGGAGCCCTGTGTGCCAGACCCTGAACCAGGCTATGCTCTGACAGAGCCGAGTGCCACCTCCCTGGGGGCAGCCTTGCCTCCCCATGGGATCAGGTCAGGGCCCACAGGCAGCCCACTCAGGGCTGACACCAGCCTCTGCCTGACCCAACTGCCACAGACAGCCACATGGAGCTGGAAAAGTCACCACAGCGTTCCCCAAACAGACAGACCAAAGGGGTGTGTGTGCACATGCTCTAGGTGAGAGGGGCGCAGAGATGCTCGGCAATCCAAGGCTGTATGTCTCAACCAGACCCTGACTTCAAAAGGGAAAAAGTTACGGCAAACAGCCTGAGGGCCCTGAGGAAGGTGCCAACAGGATAGTCAGGCGCCTTTGGGAGTTTCTGTTAAACTTTCCGGCTATGTCATGTGCTGTGCTTATGTAGGACAGTGTCTTTTTTTTTTTTTTTCAGAAGGTGCACACCAAAGTGTCAGATGCCTGCCACTACTTCCAGATGGTTCTCAGAGAAAGATGAATAGCTAGCTAGCTAGATGGAGCACAAGGCAAAGGTCATACCCATGACCCAGATGCAAAAACGACCAGATCTAGGTCATGGAAACCGAGCCAGCACTGCGTTCTTTTCTCGCCTTCTCTGTGTGCCTGAGGATTGTCTGATAAAATAGCAGGGGTGGGGGCA